TTAGGAATTAGGGGCCAAAAAAGGGGCAAAAAACAAGCATTTTTCTAGTTTCATGACAATAACTTGTGTGTAAGTGTATGGATCTTTCTGAAATTGTACTACAAGGTTCCATGTCACAAAGGGAAAGCTGGAATTGAGTTTGGGGGTAATTGCCGAAACGTTTAGGAATTGGGGGCCAAAAAGGGGCCAAAAATAAGCATTTTTTTAGTTTCAAGACAATAACGTGTGTTCAAGTGTATGGATCTCTCTGAAATTGTACTGCAAGGTACCATACCACAAAGGGAAGGCTGGGATTGGTGATAAGGGTAATTGCCTCAATATTTTAGGAATTAGGGGCCAATAAGGGGCAAAAAACAAGCATTTTTCTAGTTTCAGGACAATAACTTGTGTGTAAGTGTATGGATCTTTCTGAAATTGTACTACAAGGTTCCATATCACAAAGGGAAAGCTGGGTTTGAGTTTTGGGGTAATTGCCCTAAACGTTTAGGAATTTGGGGCCAAAAAGGGGCCAAAAAACACATTTTTCTAGTTTCCAGACAATAACTTTTGTTCAAGTGTATGGATCTCTCTGAAATTGTACTGCAAGGTACCATACCACAAAGGGAAGGCTGGGATTGAGTTTGGGGGTGATGAATCATAAGGGGGTTTGAAAAATTTGGGGGGGGGGGATTTTTTTTTTTTCCTTTTTTTTCTTTTTTTTTAATTTTCCATTTTAAGTTGGTTATTTCTGATTTATATTTAAAAGCAAATAATAATGATATGGTAGGAGATACACACCAAACAGGATGTGTAAATTATTATATAATAAGTATTGTGCAATAGCAAGAAATTTTCAATTGCACAGTATTGCACAATAGCAAGAAATCTTCAATTGCACAGTATTGCGCAATAGCAAGAAATCTTCAATTGCACAGTATTGCGCAATAGCAAGAAATATTCAATAGCACAATATTGCGCAATAGCAAGAAATTGTCAATTGTACAGTATTGCACAATATCAAGAAATATTTAATTGCACAGTATTGTGCAAAAGAAGATACTTCATATAAATTGCTTATTTCTTGACCAATTTCAATGGGGTTTTATTCTTGAATTCTTGGGGTTCTTTAATATGCTGAATCTAACCGTGTATTTTGTTTTTGGATTTTGGGCCCCGTTTTTTAATTGGTCCACATTGAGGTCCAAAGGGTCCAAAATTAAACTTTGTTTGATTTCATCAAAAATTGAATTATTGGAGTTCTTTGATATGCCGAATCTAACCGTGTATTTAGATTCTTAATTTTTGGTTCCGTTTTCAAATTGGTCTACATTAAGGTCCAAAGGGTCCAAAATTAAACTTAGTTTGATTTTAACAGAAATTGAATTCTTAGGGTTCTTTGATATGCTGAATCTAAACATGTATTTAGATTTTTTATTATGGGCCCAGTTTTCAAGTTGGTCTAAATCGGGGTCCAAAATTAAACTTTGTTTGATTTCAACAAAAATTGAATATATGGGGTTCTTTGATATGCTGAATCTAACCATGTATTTAGATTTTTGATTTTTGGGCCCCATTATCAACTTTGTCCACATTGAGGTCAAAAGGGTCCAAAATTAAACTTTGTTTGATTTCATCAAAAATTGAATTCTTGGGGTTCTTTGATATGCTGAATCTAACCATGTATTTAGATTTTGGATATTGGACCATAACAGGTGAATGTCCAATTTAAAATTTTTAAGTTCTTAGACCACATTCATTCTGTGTCAGAAACCTATGCTGTGTCAAATATTTAATCACAATCCAAATGCAAAGCTGTATCAAGCTTGAATGATGTGTCCATACTTGCCCCAACTGTTCAGGGTTCGACCTCTGCGGTCGTATCAAGCTGCGCCCTGCGGAGCATTTTATTAGATATTACTGTTAAATGATGCTGATTGAGGGTTTGAATGCTGGGATTGATTTTGGGGGTAATTGCCTCCAAATTTTAGGAATTAGGGGGCAAAAAACAAGCATTTTTCTAGTTTCATGACAATAACTTGTGTGTAAGTGTATGGATATTTATGAAATTGTACTACAAGGTTCCATATCACAAAGGGAAAGCTGGAATTGAGTTTGGGGGTACTTGCCCAAAACGTTTAAGAATAAGGGGCCAAAAATAAGCATTTTTCTAGTTTCCAGACAATAACTTGTGTTCAAGTGTATGGATCTCTCTGAAATTGTACTGCAAGGTACCATACCACAAAGGGAAGGCTGGGATTGTTTTTGGGGGTAATTGTCTCAAAATGTTAGGAATTAGGGGCCATAAAGGGGCAAAAAAACAAGCATTTTTCTAGTTTCATGACAATAACTTGTGTGTAAGTGTATGGATCTTTATGACATTGTACTGCAAGGTTCCATATCACAAAGGGAAAGCTTGGTTTGAGTTTGGGGGTAATTGCCCTAAACTTTTAGGAATTTGGGGCCAAAAAGGTGCAAAAAACCCAAGCATTTTTCTAGTTTCCAGACAATAATTTGTGTTCAAGTGTATGGATCTCTCTGAAATTGTACTGCAAGGTACCATACCACAAAGGGAAGGCTGGGATTGAGTTTGGGGGTGATGAATCATAAGGGGGTTTCAATAAATTTGGGGGGGGATTTTTTTTTCCTTTTTTTTCTTTAAAATTTTCCATTTTAAATTGGTTATTTCTGATTTATATATAAAAGCAAATAATAATGATATGGTTTGAATAGGTAAATTAAAAAATTTTAAGTTCTTAGACTACTTTCATTCTGTGTGAGAAACCTATGCTGTGTCAAATATTTAATTACAATCCAAATTCAGTGCTGTATCAAGCTTGAATGTTGTGTCCATACTTGCCCCAACTGTTCAGGGTTCGACCTCTGCGGTCGTATCAAGCTGCGCCCCAGCGGAGCATTTTATTAATTTTTTCATCAAATCATATTTGTAAACGTATTTCTGATAATTAAAATCTTTTTGACTAAATTAATTAGATGCAAACCGGTGAAATGTAAGAAAATAACTTTGAATAGACCGATCAATGTCCGGTTCAAAATAGTTTACCTGTCACCTGAACAGGTAAATTTCAGCTGTTCGACAACTAATTAGCCTTGATTAAAATGAGAAGGTATTGAAGTAGGGGTTGTTTTGATAGTACTTAATGATCATGTCACTTTTATGACCGGAAATGTGTGGCTGTTAAAGGCAAAAGGTTGGGTCATAAAGATTGCGAATTATGTTAAAATGACCGTCTCCTAAGAAAGCCTTGAAAACTAAAAAGGAGATGTCCGTTTCATGCTTTGCCCAGCCGGACTTTTACCGGACATTATACAAATGTCCGGAATATATGACCGTTTTGGAAGCCTTGATGGAAACCCTATTATTGTTCAATCAGCAGTACAATTACAAAAAAAGTGCAAAATTAAAAATTTCACCAACTAATATTTTGTATTTAAATTGATAAAAATATAATTTAACACTCTTTTCAATTTATGTTAATTTTGATAAAACATCCTAATAAAACAGATCTCTGTGATGACCCACATATCGATTATCTGATATAATTAATTGCTTGATGGATAAAATTCGAGGCTGTGTCTGAGTGATCTGTAAGGTTTTTATATGACCGCAAAAAGGTATAATGTTATGACATTGTCGTCATCCTAAGACATTTGGTTTCCAGACAATAACTTGAGTATAACTATAAGTATATGGATCTCTATGAAATTGAACCACAAGGTTCCATACCACAAAAGGCAGGTTGGGATTGATTTTAGGGGTTATTGTCCTTTGATATGCTGAATCTATCCATGTAGTTAGATTTGGGATATTGGACCATAATAGGTAAAAGTCCAATTTCAAATTTTTTAGTTCTTTAATAGACCACATTTATTTTTCCCATGTAAAAAGACAATGCCACATTGATGACTTATAAAACATATTTTCTGACTTTATTGGTTGATGGAAAATATACGAGGCTGTGTCTGAGTGGTCTAAATATAACGATAGTCTAGTATGTACATATGTATTGTATTCCTAATTCACTTGTAGTAGTACATTATATTCATTTATTCAATGCTTATACTACAGTTTACGCTTGTCCAATGATATTATAGTCATTCTAAAGTTCCATTAGACAATTGTCAAAAGTTCATTGAAGGTGTCTTTACAGAAACTAATCAAGCATCCACTTACTAGAACATTCAGATAAGATCATTTTTAAATCTAATAAAGAACAGTAAAACAGAATAAAAAATAATGCCACATAATTAACTAGATCTCCATTGTTGTTGACATTGTCTGTAAATGGCAGCATTAGGATATACCAATCGGCATTTATACAAAATATTATTTATTGGTTTAGATTCTTAATACATAATGTATTATACTTTTTAAATTGATTTTTGTTTAACTTAAAAACTGACATTTATAATTTAAGACCAGTTTACCCAACATTTAACAGTTAAGGCCTTAAAAAATAATATCCTGTGTGTCTGCTATCATGCTGGAAAAAATTATGGTCGGTGGCAAGGCAAAGAATTTCATTTTTCAAAAAGTTTTTGACTGGTTTTGACAGGGGAAAGTCTGACTTTAATAATGCTTGTTCAAAAATGTAAAGAAAAAAAATTGAGGGTAGGTAGGGTAAACAGAAACACAGATAATTTATTTTTGCCTCAGTTAAAACTTCTTGGTAGGCACTGATCCTAAGTAATTGATAGTGGACACCTATGGTATGCAGGGTTGTTGAATATTTTATATGTATAAAGCTGGAAATGTAGCATAAGTTAGGTCGTGCCCATTCTGCATGAAATTGGCAAACCAATAAAAAATAGAATTTGCATCCTATGATTAAATAAAAAGAAATTAGAACAATTAAAAAAAAAGGTTTGTGGTAAACTAACAGTTGTTAAATTTATCAGTTCTAAATGACTAAAATGTTCCTATCCCCTATGAAAGAGGAATTAAAAGTAAAAAAGTGGACAATACTAATAAGATTTATTATATATTCTGTGGTTTATTTCAGATACTCTGTTGATGTTAACTTAGACAAGGCTACAGTAAACAAAGACGCTTTCAGAGACCCAGCTCTAAAAAGGAAAGCAAGAAAAGATGCTAAAGCTAAATTTGAAGAAAAGTAATTTGAATTAAGTGTCTTTTCAGTAAACATTACAAAGTAATTTAGAGTGGGTTTCAAATTACATAATTATTCCTTGAAATATATATTTAATTATTTATCGTGATTTATATTTATAGAAAATTAATTGAAAATTTAAGGAGAAAAGAACAAAATGAAAAACTTTTATATACAAGCAAGTACAACTTTATGTATTAATTTCCTGAGAAATGTAAGAAAATAGTTTGAAGTTAAGGCATTTGCCAAGAAGTATCCCTAACAGAAGTAAAATATCTATCTGATACTAGAGAGTGGCATAAAAATTCTAAGAGTTTTTTCTGCAAAGTTGGGCATTGTCAAGATTCATTATCTGTGTAAGCCATTACAGAATACAACATACTGAGCACAAAATATTTAGAACAAGCAAAAAATTCTTTAAAAAAATGCATAAATTGAGAATACTTTGACAAAACTTTTTTGATTATTTGTTTTAATATATTTTCAGATACAAGACAGGAAAAAACAGATGGTTCTTCCAGAAGTTACGCTTCTAAGTTAACAAATAAAGTAAAAAAAACATTAGTTTGTTTGCAGAATTGTTCATTGCAATATTGTGCATTCTGTTGTATGAGGTGACAATATTGTGCATTCTGTTGTATGAGGTGACAATATTGTGCATTCTGTTGTATGAGGTGACAATATTTGTGTTATGTTGGTTATTGGATATGATTCAATGAAATCTGTTTGCTTCTAATTGGGCATACACACAGAAACAATCTCATTGGTTTTCCTTAAAATTTTGAGACAAAAGTTAAATTTTGATATATAATATTGAAATATGCAAAGAAAATAAAACCTTCCAAGATATTACAATTTCCCTTATCCTGGTTAAAAACACAAAATTTCATTTTTCTATACTTTTCCGTAAAAAAAGCTCAATTTATTAAATTTTATAGTCCGTATAATGAAGACTGATTTTGAATTTTCTTGCAAATACAAATTGAAAAAATTCTAGCCCTGATTTTTTCTTGAAATTTAGATATAGCATTCTTGAAGTAATACATAATAGATTGCAAAGGTAAAAAATTGGGGTCCATGTGTTAATTTTTTGGCTAATAGAAAACCCAGTTTTTTTTTAAATGCTGGAGTTTCCATGGCCATGGTTCATTTTTTTTGCTGCTAAATTCCATCTTTGTATTCATAATGCAAAATTGTTGTGCATTATATATACGAATTACTGTCATATACAAATTAATTGGTTATAGAAAAGTAAAACGTCTTCATTTGCGTCCAATTTTATGCCCCCCCAGTAGATTACATTAACTGTAACTGTATGGAGTCTCATCCAGAATACTTGAATGATAGTCTCATTGCTGTCCAATGACTTGGATAGAAAAAATTTAGTTCAGAAAGCTAGGACCAAAAATGTATTCCCTTATAAATGAGGAGTCATGATATGAGTACTAGGTAATCATTTTACCATTGAAAATGCAAAAATTGTAAAATTCCTAAAAATGATGCAAAATTTTATCAAGCTCCCCCAAGAAATATTTCTGATTCCTCTCTCCTAACCTACCCCATGTTTGACTGCTGATCCAAAATCATTTTATTACCTTGCCAAATAAATCATGTTTTGAGTTGAAAGAGTAGAACAAAGTCCTCTCTGCTGACTTGTTTATTAAAAAATGTAATATAATGCTAAAGATGATGTAAGTCCACAAAACAATACATAGAAAACTAAAAAAAAATTAAGCAACATGAACCCCACCAAAAACTTAGCGGTATGGGTCGTGCTCATTGTTAAAAGCCACACAGTGACCTTTAGTTGTTAACTTCTATGTCATTTTGTCTCTGGTGGAGAGTTGTCTCATTTGCAATTATACCACATCTTATTTTGTCTCGCCTGCAACTTTTGTCACAGTATGTGAGTCATAGGTATTGCTATTCGGCGGTGTGAACTATTTGTATAAAGCTTTATATTTCAGAAGGTAGTAGACCTGGATGCTTCATATCTTGTATGCAAATACCTTATATTACGAAGTATCTGTCATTCATATGTCCATTGTCCTTGACCTCATTTTCATGGTTCAGCGACGGCTTGAGAGAAAAAAATTTGAGTTTTTTTGTCATGTGAATTTCTCACTCATTATGAGTAATAGGATAACTATATTTGGTATATGGGTTCCTTGCAACATCTACATGTCCATCAGACAGAGTTCACCTGTTATGGTATACCATTGTCTGTCCTTCCGTCTTCAACATGTCGGACATTAACTCAAAAAACGCTTTTACCCAATTTGCAAGAAACTTTGGTCAATTGTTTTTATATGACCGCAAAAAAAATTTTGTGGTCGTATATTGGTATGACGTCGTCGTCGTCCGAATACACATTAGTTTTCGCACTCTAACTTTAGTTTAAGTGAATGGATCTCATTGAAATTTTACCATAAGGTTCAATACCACAAAAGGAAGGTGGGGATTGATTTTGGGGGTTATGGTACTAACAGTTAAGGAATGAGGGGCCAAAAGGGGCCAAAAATAAGCATTTTTGTAACTTCCAGACATAACTTGTGTGTAAGTGTATGGATCTCTCTGACATTGTGCCACAAGGTTCTATATCACAAAGGGAATGCTGGGATTGATTTTGGGGGTAATTGTCTCCAAATTTTAGGAATTAGGGGCCAAAAAGGGGCAAAAAACAAGCATTTTTCTAGTTTCATGACAATAACTTGTTTGTAAGTGTATGGATCTTTATGAAATTGTACTACAAGGTTCCATATCACAAAGGGAAGGCTGGGATTGATTTTGGGGGTTTTCCCTCAAAATTTTAGTAATTCGGGGCCATAAAAGGGCAAAAAAAACATGCATTTTTCTAGTTTCAGGACAATAACTTGTGTGTAAGTGTATGGATCTTTATGAAATTGTACTGCAAGGTTCCATATCACAAAGGGAAAGCTGGAATTGAGTTTGGGGGTAATTGCCCTAAACGTTTAGGAATTTGGGGCCAAAAAGGGGCCAAAAAACAAGCATTTTTCTAGTTTCCAGACAATAACTTGTGTTCAAGTGTATGAATCTCTCTGAAATTGTACTGCAAGGTACCATACCACAAAGGGAAAGCTGGGATTGAGTTTGGGGGCGATGAATCATAAGGGGGTTCAAAAATTGGGGGGGGGGGGGGATTTTTTTTTTCCTTTTTTTTCTTTAACATTTTCCATTTTAAATTGGTTATTTCTGATTTATATATAAAAGCAAATAATAATGATATGGTTTGAATAGGCATACATGTGAACCTCCCGACGGGAGTACAATAATCCCGTTTTCAGGGGTCTCCTCCCCCCTCCCGTTGAAAAAATCCCGTGTATGAAATTTTTCATGAATGAAAAATTTCTGCCCAACATAACATCTCGGGCATCTGGTGTAACTGACATTACCTGAAGTTATATTTTACCTGTAAATCAATTAACATGCATAATTATATGGCTTCACTTGTCAGCTTGGGTGTCAAACATACTGGTAAGCAACGATTTTTACCTCAGGCTAACTGCCGTTGTGTAACAAAAACTGTGTATTTATTGGGTTACTTCCCTTGATTTATCCTGTTTTAAGTTACTTTCCTTTTAATAATGAAAATTTTTAAAAGAATATAAATAAAATATAAATTGAACAAATAATCATAAAAGGATGGTTATTAAATGATTTTAAATGTCTTAGGACAAATAAAAAAATAATAATTTGAAAATTATTTGAGGATTCTATACTTCCTTTTAAGGCTTAAATTGAAATTTATATAATAACTATGACCCTAACTTTACAGATAGAATGAATTTCTGAGTTTGCAAATAAAAACTATTTGCAAGAGAAAAAAAAAAAAATAAAAACTATTTGCAGACAGCTAAACAAATGTTCTGGTTGCAATGATTGATTTATAGAATATGAAGTGAAAAATTTAAAGAACATACTGGAAAAAAACAATGTTAGATTGAACATGTAGAATATAAAGATGGAGAAACTTTATAAGTACAAGGGTACTATAAACATAATAAATTGGTTGGAAAGTTGAAGAAAACACACTTTAAAAGACCATTTTTACAGCACACGGTTACATTTACAACAAAATTAATGTCGATTAAAAACCTCCTGATCTGAGTCCTAATCTCCTGACCAAAATTTCCCAATCTCCTGATCTGAGTTTCACAGTCCATCACATGTATGAATAGGTAAATTGAAAATTTTTAAGTTCTTAGACCACTTTCATTCTGTGTCAGAAACCTATGCTGTGTCAAATATTTAATTACAATCCAAATTCAGTGCTGTATCAAGCTTGAATGTTGTGTCCATACTTGCCCCAACTGTTCAGGGTTCGACCTCTGCGGTCGTATCAAGCTGCGCCCCAGCGGAGCATTTTATTATCTATTGACTTGAGCTCCCTTTTGATTTTTATAAAATTTAGATTTTGCGTTTCTGAGTTATGGGGTTTTATTCATTAAAAAAAGGGGGATTTTCCAGTTTTTGGACAATACCTTTAAAGTGCTTTGAGCAGTTTTCATTAAACTTTGGTGCCTGGTTTATATCTATTGAGATAAGCTCCCTTTAGTTTTTCATAAATTTCTGATATGACATTGAGAAGTTATTTAATTGTTTATAGTCTGACAACAGATTTACTAAGTATTGCGCAACAGCACAGTATATTGCACAACAGCAAGAAATCTTTAATTGAATATAAATCCAATTCATATAACCAATTTCAAGTTCTTTGACTACATTTATTCATAAACCTATAATATGTCAAATATTTAATTACATTCCAAATTCAGACCTGTATCAAGCTGTAGCGGAGGGGACATTAAGTTTTACCCTTGTCCGTCCATACGTACCAAAGTTGGTTTCCGTTCTCTAACTTCAGTTTGCCTCAAGCAAATGTTATGAAACTTATAGACAAAACTTAGATCGAGAACAAATTTGGGTAGAGTCACTTTTACCGTTCTTCAGTTATGTCCCTTTATAACTATATGATATGTGGAGGCATCATCTGTGTCCCATAGACACATTCCCCATTTATTTTCAAGTACTATAAGCAATAGGTCAACTTTAATTGGTGTAAGGTGTACAAGTCTGTCTGGCAGGAATCATCTGACCTTGACCTCATTTTCATGGTTCATTGGTCAATGTTAAGTTTTTGTGTTTTTGTCTGTTTTTCAAGTACTATAAGCAATAGGTCAACTATATTTGGTGTTTGGAATGATTTTAAAGGTGTTCATGTCTGTCTGGCATGTATCATCTGACCTTTACCTCAATTTCATGGTTCATTTGTCAATGTTAAGTTTTTGTATTTTGGTCTGTTTTTATACGCCTGTTTACGGGACGTATTATGATATACAGTTGTCAGTCCATCCGTCGTCAACATGTCGGATAATAACTCAAAAACACTTTAACCAATTTGCATGAAACTTTGGTGAATTGTTTATATCTATTGACGTAAGCTCCCTTTGATTTTTATAAATTTTAGATTTTACGTTTCCGAGTTATGGTGTTTTATTCATTAAAAAAGGGGGATTTTCCAGTTATAGGACAATAACTCTAAA